AAAACAGTTTTCTGCCATATGTTTGGACTTGGTCTTTGTACCTATTTTTTAAACACTTTGGACTACTAGAAAAGTACAGAGCAGTCATTTGACAGTGCCATTGCTTGACTTCTATTCCTCCAACATGAATGAATATGGCTTTTATTAAGTATTGGTGGGAAGTAAAATTGTAAATACCACAACTTATGCAAGATTAAGGAGTTTTGTCTTCATTTTTGCTAACTACTCGTCAAATAATAGACTACACTTTCATCAACTCTATAGTGAACAAATAACCGAGACCACCACGTAATGAGTTCATCAAATTGCCTTTAAAGCATACAAAAGCCTGAAATTGGAATCACTTCTAACAAGGGGTGTATCCTCCTCGGAAATAAGCGGTTCATCCAACTGACCTACCATCGACTGACCAAGCTCGATGTTTTCATGTGCATTTTTGATTGAACTATGGCCAAGGAGAGCAGCCATGTTTACTGCTTTTGGGAGGAATTGGGTTATTTTCTTTTCTCTCAAGTAGCATTTTGATCTCCCACTTTCGAGCTGAGATGAGAAGAATACAAGTTTATGGTCAAAACAACCATACAATGTCTTTTCTTTCAAGGAATCCCAAGAATTTTTTTCGTCTTTGTCTACATTTGAGCGGGGTTAATCCGGACAACAGCAGAGTAACATTTTTGACATCAGACTGCAAAGTAAATAAGGCAAAATTACTAGACAATATAGCAATTTGAAGAATTTGATAAAATCTCCACAGTGGAAAATAAATATGTTTCAACATGCCCAGAGATTTAACTTTGTTTGTTTAGTTGCGTGACATGTACAGTCACAGGTCTGTTTCCTTTATAAACAATTTTCCCATTTTTACTTTAAATATATTACACCAAACCTCGGGAACACTGCAATTCCTGAAATCCCTTCCCTTCTGAAAGAGCTATTTCATTTACCCAGACAGTGTAAAATAGGGCTTTAAGTACTGTGAACACTTGGTCTACAGTATTTCTTTAATTATCAACTTTTAACTACTTTTACATCAACTACCGCTATTTATCAAACTACAACGGAGTTTGATTAAATGAAGTGATTTCAGTCTTTTCTACGATCTCAACAAATGCTTGCGACCATTTAAAGGTTATGGTCATGCTGTACCCAAAACAAATGCTGGAAAGGTGCTCACTATCATCTATGCGCTCGTGGGGATTCCACTCGTATTCCTCTATTTGACCAACATCGGCGACTACCTGGCTTCTCTCTTCCGGACCCTTTACACCAAGGTCTGCCAACGATGTTGTGAAGGCACCTGCGTCAACAAGACAGAAACCCATCGGAAAGTGAGCATTTTTAATGCTTTGCGAGCACAGCCTTCGGAGATAGACCTGACTCAGCGACGGGACTTTTTGTTGGATGAATCCCTGCATCGGAGCAACATCAATATTATTCGTCGAATAGGCTCTTTGAGTGTGAGAAGAGACAAGGCAAGAAATGTGAAAAAAGAAGACCACATGGTGGATTGTGTTGGCATAAATGTATTTTGTAACGAGCATGCCATTGATGTGGATCGAAAGGAGCAAATGGAGCAGAAAAGACAAGGAGAAATAAAGGTACACCGTGCTGCCTTTTTCATTAAACAACATTTCAATACAGGTTTGGTCTCCTCTTCTATCATTTCGATTTTGTAATGTTGTTGAAACTTCTCATCAAGGGGATGTTTGTTGAGTGCTATGGCGTGTTTCAAATACATTACTCTTTTTCCTATGAAAAAAGCCTGCCGATTTTAGGACGACGCCATCTATACTCATAGTACTTAGCCCTCTGACTTTTTCGAGTAATCATGGCTCATACCTTACTCACACAAATAAAAGAAAACTCGCAGCGAATAGCACTATGGGTTACCTGTTTAAAAGATTTTCAGGGTTTAACATTTTGTGAATACAATATTGAAAAGGTAATTATTTGACAGATTTTGCAATGAATCCAATGTATCATTTAAAAGGTATTTTCTGTTGAAATTGCTTTGCTCCTCTGGTGCGGCCAAGCCGTTTTAAATAATCTAACTTTTCAAAGCGCAGCACTGACAATAATTTGACATGCTTATTGCTGAAGGTTTCCCCATTTTTACACAACCCTCCATATGTAACCCTTTGCAAACTCAATGAATTTTCACCTTTTTTAATGAAAACGTTCGTTTTTTTATGACAGATGGAGCACCTCGACTTAGATCACATTTTGCATATCTGGAAATGCGATTCCCTTTTATCGTATTAGGCGCTGTTTCAGAAAAGGTTTACTGACCATTTTAATTTCGCCTTGGACACCAATAATATGTTTATGGAAATAAAGACTAGGTGTCATGACATATTGAACTTTTAATTGTAAATGTCGAATTTGTAAACATGTAGAAATAGCGGCGAATCGGAGAAAGCCCCACGTTGCATGCAGTTAATGAACGGTTTCCTGTTTGTACTTTATCTTTGCGGAATTGGCTTGGTCGAATGCACAACTAAACTGTCCACCGTGCGTATAATTCATGCATTGAATATTTTCAAACTGAACCACGCCATTTGTTCGTTTTCTTAACTTAAATTTGACACAAAGCTAAGCAAACCCTGATCATTATTGAAAAATTCCAATGTATTTTGATTTACTCCTTGTTCATTCTTAATTTTTTAAGCTGAAAACTATAAAACAGGTAGAGGTAAGTTTCCGGGTCAATTATGTCCCTACGATTAGATAGTGCAGTTCATGCAGTATGCAGTCTTTGATTTCCGCGGGGCAGATTTTTCATCGGCCAGCTCATTTGGCATTGTAAGCCTGGCAAAAGTGATGAGATGCAACCCTCAGTGTACCGCCCTCAAAGCTACTGCGTGTGTGTTCAACTACTTTAACCAGCGTAAAAAAGTGTAATTAGTCCCAAACATGATTCCTACTGGAGTAGAGAGGACGGATAAGTGCATAACCTTAGCACAAATACGCACTTTCACTGTCACCGAGATGAGCACACTTTATTTTCTCCACTTACGTATTTTAAGCAGTCAAAATGCAGCTTAACGCACACTCTATCCACTGATGCATTTTCAGGGTATTGATGCGCCACCAAGTGAGAGCTATCGAATGTGCCTCAAGGTTACGGCGAATCCATCACAGCCTTTTTTGCTCAATACCACAAATGTAAAGACGGAATGCGCAAGGAAGTGTGCGCTCCAGACACCTCCACTATATGCAGCCTCATTGCAGCAGGTGGAATCAGAAACCTTACAAGAACTTGTCGACAGATGCGACTTTCGTGCACCCAAGTCGGCGGCAAACTCCCCTAAGAAGACATGGAAAAATTTTTCCTATACATGTGGTACACAAATACCACGAAAATCTATGAACGGGCAATGCTTGGTTAAGCCCATCGGCGCAGATGCCAGCACTCTATCACCGCATAACGTTGGCACTCAGACAGCCCTGCATGCTGGACCAGACGACGCCCTTACGTATAGGAGTTTGTGCAAGTCTTTCGTCACAGGTCAGTATTTTAGGTCTTATCGTCGCGAAATGCGGCACGAACGCAAGCAGATGCAACGAAGACTCAAGATTCAATCACATGGAGCTTCAGCAAGGTACAAAAATGATTGCTATTCTGATGAATTTGTTTGGACATTGGAGAACCGAAAGTCTTTTCTTGAGGTTCCCTCCGAAAACCACTCATCAGATAGCACAAATACCTTTTTATCGATGCGGGATTTTAAGCTTCTCTCAGAGGTGGAAAACCAATCGAATTCAGCAAAGTCTGTGTCTCCTACTTTCAATGCAAAAAATGGCCATAAATCAAAGAGATCGAAGGAAGAACCCATTACAATGTCTTCTACTTCATTGCCGGTGAAATTAGAGCAGCAAAAAGTCACTTCTTTACAAGTGGCGGTAGATGGAGGAGAAGTGAGCCCCAGTCGACCTACAAATCCTGTCCTCAAATCTCGTCTCTCTGTTCTTTCTTCGCTGGCAAGTTCTTCAAATGACCTCATGATCAGACTTAGCTATTATTCAAATGAAAACATTTACGAAGCTGACTCCACATCTC